GCAAAAAAATATCAAATTTTGCTAATGATGCTGGGTGCATAAAACCACGGGGACAGGTTTGTGCAAACCAACCCTCGCTGTGTGAGGTAGTAAGTGTCTACAACTACAGTAACTATAGCTCAGAGGAAAGAGGAAAAAATACAAATACGAGTACTGGATACACCGTCTTCCCCTTTCAGAATGGAATTGTACTGAATACATGTACTGTAAATAGTATTTTCCATTTTCAGAATGGCATTATACTAGCGAAAGATATCTATATAAATTATCTTTCATTTCCGGAATGAAATTATAGTACATGTATTATACTATAGATTATATTTTCTTCCCTTTTCAGAATTGAATTGTTCTGGCTCCACGGATCTTCCCTTCCTTTTCAGAAAGGAATTCACCTCACGTCTATTGTGTGCGACGCAAAGAGTCTTGACTAAAAGTCCTACGTTTCTACCACACACGCCGATAGTTTTATACTTGCTTCACCAGCTTGGAAACAAATGGGGGTGGGGGGGGGGGTGGGGACAGGGCTGACCGCAGTGGTCACTGTCTGTCCTTCCACTGAGGTGCTGAATGTGCCGAATACCCCATGTCCACTTGTGGGCGCCGGGCAAATGTAGTAAGCTAGGTTGGGGTACCCGCTGTGTCCGTACCGTGTGATCGTGGCAGTTAGGCCTACTGCCGTGGTCTGATCAAACGCATTTTTCTCAAAATCAAGGTTTCGAGATAATCGTGATTTAGCGGTTTTGGCGAATTAAACAAATAGCACTGTTGTTTTTGTTTGACTATCCCACATGAAGATATCTCATGCAGATATTTACCATGACTAGTTCTAGATCTAAATAAACCAAATTCTGTACAATTTGAGAGACAAACAAACAAATAAGAAGAATGCCTATGCTGGGTGGTATGGGTGTCAGGTATAAGAAGCGAAAAAAGATTGTGTTGAAATGAACGTAGATCTAGAAGCTCCATGGGTTTTTGTTGTTTTCGTTTGTTTGTTTTTTCTTCTTTTTTATTTTTTTATTATTTTTTTTATTTGTGGGCTAAAGATAGCGGTGGGGGCGAGATGAAAGAAAGGAAGTTTGATGATCATGGAATCCAGGTAGTTTAATCTGATAGTAGTATGCGGATACGGAGAAAATAATTTAAAAAACAACAAACAAAACAAATAAACAAACATAAAAAAAACTCACACGCTGTCTTGATACTGATCCGTGGTTAAGCTTCTGTCTCACTCAGCGAAGAATCCAAGTTGGTCGCTGCTATCCGATGTCTACAATCGAAAATCCTGGCTCCTCACTCACTCACTCACGTCACTGGCGATCTTTTCCTTTCGCGGTGACCACAAAATTTCTTCTTTTTTTATTTTCTTCCTCTCTTCGAATGCTGTGGGCTACATGTATAAATTTCTATTTCTGTCCGATTTCGCCCACTACTACAGTCCACAGAATAATATGCTGTCCCCTCTCTCGTTGCTTGATTGCAGCGCTTCTTTTCCGTCCGAATATGAAGAAACTGTGACTTTCAAAAAATGAAACAATAAGATACGCATTAGATCGTGCTAGATAACAACAATTATTTCTCCGTTGTCTTGTTGTCGCGATTCTACTGGTTCGTCGGGGTGCAGCTCTTCACAATGAAATGCCCGGGAACGATGTAGCGAAGAAGTGGAAGTGATCCCACGGTTATTAGAGCATTAGCTGTCGGGGGGAACATATTCCCATTTCACAATCACACACACGCGCGCGTGGTGCTAGGGGGGGTTTTACAGAGATATCCGAGCCGGCTAATCCGTACACACACGTTTTTTACACCCGCTCAGCTGTCGGACGACGGAGGGAGGCCAGCGATCGCGACGTAAAACCCCGCCCTCAATGGCTGCTTGCCGTACAAAGGAATTCCCTGAACTGGCATTAGCCCCGCCCGTCATTGAACAGGGAGCCAATCAGATGGGAGTATCTCTCTCACCGCCAGGCTTCCGCGGTCCACCGCCTACCCACTATTGACATTATTGTTGATGTCTTTCGTTAGCGCGGCGCCCGTCAAACACGAACAAGCCCCGCCTCTCACTTTTGAGTTGGCGGTGAATGAATCAATGCGCAAGTCACGAGAAAGAGGCGAAATAAAAATGATAATGTAGCTTTCTCACCGCTCTCGCCTTGTGATTGGAAGCGGCTTGTGGTGGTGGAGCCCTTAAACTACAACCCCATTCAAGAGAAGAATCGTTGAAAACATTTTCACCATCGTCTGAATCGTCAAGAAAACTATTGGGAACTGATCCCAAGTGACACTGATTGTATTGATTTTAAAATATTTTTTTTGGTTCTACATTAGCTGTGTGTGTGTGACTCTCACTTTTCGTAACTAAGCCTGCTGCAACTCAACTACAAAACAAAGTGATCGCTAGATAGAACATCGCACCCCCCCCCCCTTCCCCCTTTTTTTCTTAGTTTTGTAGAGATATAATTCTATGATATGTCAACTGGTAGGGATCGTGGATTCTTCTTTTTTTTTCAAATGAACTTTAAAAAATTAGAATTCTTATAACAGATGTTTAGTTGGAAACGTGCAGAAGCTAGATCTAGATATATGTTAATTTACATTTAGCCTTAAGTAGACCGGTGAAAAATATTGTATTGCGGAATGAGATTTCAACAGGCTTATGGTATAAACTTTTTGTACTTTGGTATTAATAATACTAGATCTAATAGTAATATAATAATAATACTACAATAATAGTAATTAATAATAATAATAATAATAGATCTAATAATGATAATACAAAAATGATAGAAAAAGATCTAATAATAATAATAATAATGATAGAATAATAACAATAATTATAATATATTGCATTAAATATAGCGCTCTATCCCCGAGTGCAATAAGCTCTAAACGCTTATACTGGTGAAGAATAATATAATAAGGGAACAGTAAGTAATGTTTGTCGTTGTTACTATTGTAGTTGTGGGGACTTTTCTGTCTCTGTGTCATCCTTGTTTTCATCTACTCTTTAAGATAAGATACATCTTTATTTTCCAGATCCTGGAACATTGGTTTGGTGGTCCACCACGTGTACGCACACACACACACACACACACACACACACACACACACACACACACACACACACACACACACACACACACATACACACAAACATGCACACACACGCAGGCTAACAATCACACGCATAATGTATACATGAGCAGCAATTTAAACAATTATATTCTTAGGCTAGATACGTACTCAACGTTATTCTGATGCATGCCCTAATGTCATATGAATACTTATACAAGATGGTTGAGTTTAAGATTGAAGAATTTTTGATGGAAGATGGTAAAAATGAACTTCTGTGTCTTTTTTTGTCTTTCCCAAAATGACTGCTTTTGTCTATTTCTGACCTTGCCGTCGTGGATTGTGGATGATGGACCTAGCCGTGGATTGTGGATGATGGACCTAGCCGTGGATTGTGGATGATGGACATAGCCGTGGATTGTGGATGATGGACATAGCCGTGGATTGTGGATGATGGACATAGCCGTGGATTGTGGATGATGGATCTTGCCGTGGATTGTGGATGATGTGGAGAGATGGGCAAAGATGGCGAGTAGAAGCACTATTAAAAACTGGGTGGTTGGTGGATGCTCTGGTGTGGTTTATTCCTTTAAAAAAAAATTAGTAGAGGTTTTACGGCACTCGCAACTGCATAAGTCATATGAGCGCCCAGGGGTAGAAGTCAACAGAGAAGTCTTTACAGGGAATCAGGCTTACTCTGCTCACCTCTCTAGCTTCAACAGCACAAAGTCTGTTCCGACTTTCAAGGCACCCAGGAAATAGGGGGTCACAGGAGTGTGACAAATATACAAAAGAAGTAGAGGAAATGACAATAGTAAGGATTAAGAAAGAAAAAGCACCAGTTCCCCTTTGTAGATCAGGCACAGTTATGAGCGTGACATTGGTGAATCAGCTCATTTACAATTCTACCCCAAACTTTCAAAATGAATTTCCTGATTTGACAGAGATGCTCTTTTTATACAACCTTCTTGTGTTTTTCTTAAATTTTGTTAATCTCTCGCAGCTTCCACAGCTTATTCAGTAGATTCTCAAACTATTCGTAGATGATGAAAGAGTGGTTTCTTTTCTCCGGCCTTGTCGAACCGCAGAGCCGTTTTCAGTCAACGCTTCCAAACAACAAAATCACAGCCCATCTTACTGGCGTCATCAGACAAGACTAAAATAAAACATTTGAAAAAAAAATGTGCAGCTCACAAATATCTGGTTTATTCTTAATATTTTTTAAATATCGAAACTCCAACTTGCAGCTTTCAGGTTCTGAGAAGGGCATTACAATCTCATAGCTTGTCCTACGTGGCTGTTTTTTCTACAAAGTTCGAAGAACCATTCCTTGCCTGACAGACAGACACATAGTCACATGCTATTTTCGAAGGTACAAGAAAAAAATTCTAGAGCTGAACGGTGGGTGGTTGGTACTCTGGTGTGGTTTGCTTCTTCTTTCCTATCAAACATCTATCGTCCTTATCTCCCCTCCTATTTTGTGTTTGTTACTTTCTCGTAACGCCTCTAATCTTCGGCACTTGTATGACCTTATTGTGTTGCAAGTGCCGTAAAACTCTTACTAAGATTAAAAAGACCCAAACATTTTTGTTGACTAGAGTGGCTTCAGGAATTCATTTGGAAATTTTCCCAGACGGATTGAGTATCCTGCGCAACAGGGAGGCGATATATATAAAATAATAATATGGAAGAGAATGGTGATCATCTCACACCAGTGGGCGTATTAGACAGTGGTAGTAGAAGAAACAAATTACTTGTGGGAAACGAGAAGTGATAGCTTGTACAGGTTGCCATAGTTCAAGCTCAATAAATAAATAAATAAATTTTTAAAAATTCTAACGAAAGAATGAACGAATGCACAAACGAATGAATGAATGAAGGAAGGAATGAATGAATGAAAAAATGAATGAATGAGTGAATGGATG